TACGTGATTATCAAGGGCAATAAAATTGACATCTAAGGATTTACATAATTGATCAACGGCAATAAAATGGACAAATTAATCTTCATAGAAAATCTACATGGCAATAAAATGGACTTAATATTCTACCAATTAAATCTATCTAAAATTTTACCCGTCACAATGTACTATATCAATATTAATATAAATGTATATCACGTACGAAATTATCACTTAATAAAAAAAATGTATCAAATAAAATATTTAAAAATTATTACTTTGTATTATTATAATTATTTTTTTTTAAATTTTATTGTATTTTTATAATTACATAAAACTGTAATTTATATATTAATCAAAGTTATAATTATAGTTTTTCATATAGAATTTTATTCTTTTTCAAATGTGTATTTAATTATAATAATTAATGAAAAATTAAAAAACTTTTTTAAGAGTAAAGTTCACTTTGAATTTTACAAAAAGTATGCAAAAAAAATATTCTGTTGCAACTTTTACTTTATGTTTTTATTTTGTTTACACATTCTTATAAATTATCCAATCATGTGATCTATTTACATTATACTTGATTATTTAAAAATAGCAATATATATAAATATTATTTATTTTTTGTTTATTTTTTTTTGAGAACCTTCCACTTTTTTTGATTTTTTTGATTTTTTTTTAGTAATCTCTTTTGCAAAATAGGCAGATCTAAGAAAGAGCAACAAAAGAACTAATAAAACAAACCTCTCATTCTCGCCCTAACACTTTAGAATAACAACCAAATAAAAAATAGAATACTTTACAAACTATTGAACCTGAAATAGTGTCTTCATTTCAAATAACAAAGATGAAACTCCAGTTATTATGAACATCGACCCTCTTCTGCTCGATAAAAGAAAGGGAAAAGAAACTTTAACAAGTGAAATAATAATATTTATCACTCCTAATCAAACAGTTATAAATGTCAATAATACTAATGACACCTCAGAAAATTTTTTGAATAGAATGAAAAGTTCTCAAGAAATTTTCACTAAAAAAATGAATTTTTCATGTATTTTTCTAGATAATTATCCTGAAAAATCCTATCAAACAAAAATTTCTGATGTTATTTACCTTATTTTTGATCAATTCAATTCATTTTCAAGTATTGTATTTTCCAAATATCTAAAGAACTAATCAAAAAAGATTTTAAAAGCAACATTTACTGATAAGAATAAAAGGAACGAGTTTTGTAAATTAAATCTACCTAATTTAAAAAATGCACATTTTTACCTTTTGATATTATTCTCAAATATTATTTGTTCTATAACAATTAATTAAAGTCATAGAAATTCCATTAAACGCCATCAAACTAAGAATTAAAAGATTTTTTTCTCAATTTAAAAAGATAGTTAAATTTAGAATGAAAATGAAAAAACTTTGGCAATAAGCAATAATTACTTATAACTTTGATACTAATTTCGTTAAACTCAAGAAAGGTCATAGTATCTTCTTTCTAAATAATATAGTTCACTTCTACATATGTGATTTACAGAATAATAAATTTAGAACACTCAAAGTTCTCTATTAAACTCACATGTCTCTCTCATTTTACAATGTAAAGATTTATCTGACCTGGGATTAATGGTCAATGTGATAGCTTAAACCATTCCTAAAGCCAGATCAAATTATCATAATTTACAATATACATTCTTTTATTTCTTATTAGCTGACATTATGAAGTGGCTGTTAGTAACAATAATTTACTATTAATGATAAATATATTGAATGAACTGAGACTAAGATTAGGCTCTAAGTTATATGCTTATCTTTATATCATAAAATCAAAGATTGTTCAAAGAAATGTAAAATACTATGGTGCACGCAGTCTAAAGCTACCACTTTTTTATTTTATAACCAAATTTTCATTTTTATAATAAAATCACGTGAAAAAGAATTTATTAGTTAATATTTAAATCACATGATTAGAAAATTTCACAGACCAATAGTTTTATTATTAAGAATTTACATAATTGATCACATTTTCAGGTATCTGCCAATGTGATCTATATTGTTTTACAGCATATAAAGCTGCAATACCTGTTAAATCTTTTCTGTAAGCATCCATAAACCTTCAAGAATGATGAGCATATCGTCTAATTTGTTCTAAAGAAACAGAATTTAATGCTTCTGAAACAATTTTTTCTAATACTTTGAATGAATAATCACAATTATTTTGAGTATATCATTTAGCTGCACTCCAGAACATCTCGATATAATTAAGTTCGCAATAGAACTTCAAATAAAATATAACTTTATGTCTCTGATTTTCAATAACCTCTTTGACTAATGATTTTTGTGCTAAAAAATCAGGTTGAAGTGAAAGTACACAAATTGCATAATAATTATTTGAAATCAGTAAATGCTTTTTACAATCATTACAAATATGTTTTAATTGACTTTGAGGCTACAATCCATGCTCTTTCAAAATTAATTTAATACCTTTTAACTGTCCTATTTGGAAGATGTATTGTTTGTACTATTCCATCAAGCATTAATCCATCTTTAAACTTTCCTTTACCATCAGGTTTAAGATTTATTCATGAAGTGATGAGAGTATTTTCAGTATATGCTGCGTGACTTATTACATTATCAAATGCAAATACACCAATATCACTAGGATGTAATTTTTCAAATATAGGAATTGCTTTTTCAGTTATCTAATATTCGTTAAAAGGTAAAGTTAATTATCAAATATTTATAAATAAAATGAAGCATAATTTTTTTAAAAAATATAATTAATTAATTTATTTATTTTTTTTTTTTAATTTTTCAATGGGTTTAAAATAACTTTAGTAATTTTTATTACCATAATATGATAATTTCTCCTTATTCTTTATTTTTCATATATATTATATACCTGTTTAATTAAATCATCCATTTTTTACTATCCATCATGATTGATTCCCAGTTTCATCATAACATAAGCCTCCTTTTCTTCAAATTTTAAACGCCTATCAACTTCTGTAAGAAAATCACTAACATGCAAACTAAGTCCTGCTCCTTTTTTTCAAAGTGGTTAATGTTCAACTGATCTCCAGTAAGTTTTTTTTTCCATCATTAGCATAAAAAATGGATTCATTATGTGTTATTAATATATAACATTTCTCATTTACATCTAAAACTAGTTTTTCTAAAGTCATTATATCATCTAATGGTTTTGGCATCCACTTTTCTAATTCTAAAATTTCATTTAAAAAATCTTGCCTATATTCAATCACATCAGGTCTTTTATGACTATTATAATAAACATCTTTTCTTTCAACACAAAATTCCCATCCAAAATGTTTTAACCAAGCACATACTGTATTATCAGAAATCATTTTTTTCTTTCAATTCCTACACATGGAAATACTTCCTGTTCAATATAAGTCTTAAACCTATTTACTGTTACATCACAACTAATACTCCAAAGATATTCTGTAATCATTTGATAAATATCTTCATCACCCAACAAACTTTTTACTTTTTGATGTTTTCCACGCATTGATATTGAAATCTGATGATAAATAATAAAATTTTGACTTCATGATCTAATTAATTGTGCTTGATTATTTTCCTTTTCAATGCTAATTGCAAGGGATTTGCTTGCATCCATACATTTAAGATCACTTAACCACAAATTAATATATTGCATTATAAGCTGTAATTGTATTTTGACTTGTAAGATTAAAGATTTGTCAGCAATTAGTTTCTTTAAATCCTCCAATGCTAACTTAAAACCTTCTTATTCTTGATCCCTTTCAAATTGCTTTAGATTATTTGCAAACTTCTTTATAGATTGATGCGGTATTTGTTGAGATATGGAAAAAAAAGTATCAAGTTTGAAGATACCAGCTGTTACAGTTTTAGCAGCTAATTTTTTACGTCTTTGTGTTCTTTTCGAATTTCCAATATAAAACAATAGACATTTATTTGTAAATGATATTAGCACTTTTGTATTTTCAATCATAACATCAAAAGCAGTCTGTGAAATTTGTTTTAGATTTTTGAATTCATCATTATGCCAATCATCATCTGAATCATGACAATCTGACAATTCATTCTCATCACAATTTGCAATTAATAAAGTTGCATTTTTTTTTAAAGCTTTACTATTTTATGCAGCCGCAAGTTAAACTTTTTGTGTCTTTGGTGACATTTTTATAAAGTAAAAAAATTTGCAAATGTAAATTGCGCTAAAAAAAAAATTTTCACATGTTGAAGATAAGATTGTGCTAAAAAAATTTTCACATGCTAAAGATATAATCATTCTGATCCATTTTAAAATTTTTAATTCTACCCAGTTTATAAATTTTGACCTGCATTATATTAGTATCAAACTGGATAAAATTTGCCAAATTTATTCAAAACATAGTAAAATAACTGATATTAAAATTTATATATTTTATGCTATAGTAATTCAATTTGAATAAACTCTCTGTTACATTAAAGAGTATTGTTTAAATTATAATTTTACAGAAAGATTTTTGAATAATATTAAATTCAATTTTTTTTTCTATTTATTTGAAATTACATGATAAAATATAGTAGCTTTAAACTGCATGTATCATACAAGATTAAAACACACAAAATTTGTACCAGAAATTCTAATATATACAATACAATAATTATAAAGCTCTATCTTATCCTTGTCAAAGTGCAACTAACCCTAATATCACATTTGCAAATATTATTACAGAAGGTGCTAAAGAGAATCCTATACTTTCAGTCAAACTACAAACGAATTCGCTTAACAAAAATAAAGATACTAGTAAACTTATTAAGCAATCCAATAAACCAATCACCTTCTAGAGTGATGACATACTTAACATAGAATATCACAATTATCAAAGTTAAAAATCTTATAATAATTTACATAACATTTCTAATAATACTAAAACTGAAGGCTTCATATACAATACAGATAATGATACAAGTTTTAAAGACTTCATTAAAGCTAACTTTCTATAATTGATCTAGAAACTAAATGATCTTATAGTCACTCTTAGCTTCATAATAAAAAGAATAGATATAATCGAACAAATATAATATCAAAGTCAATTATCCTAAGGAAAAAACTATATTGAAAACTATGATATAGAATAATATGGTGATGGTTCCATTATTGACGCCTCTACATTAGTAATTAATAAATAAAGATTAATCATTGCTACTCTAAAAGAAATTAATAATACACAAAATTTACGTTTTAAGAATTTTATAGAAATGATCAATACGTTGGTCAATTTCTGTAATGCATTTAGAACGGTTCTTATTCATAATAGTTTATTATTAGCAGAAAAGACTCTAACAACATATGTACTTAACACTGCTTATAATATAGAAACAAGCAAAGGCTCTTGATAGCCCCCTTAATTTTAAATTATTATCTATAATTACTGTCTCTACAGATAAAAACAAAGATTCTCCATTCTCTTCTCAAAATCATTTTAACATAATTTTCCTAAATATTCTAAAACTCTCTTTTGCAACAAATAACGTTCAATCCTTACTAATATTACTAAATAATATTACCTTTTTTCTTATATTTCTTGTATAATATAGATGTTATTAGCCTCCAAGAAACAAATTTTAAACTACAGCATGAAAAAATATTTAACCCTTCATATCTATCATTCATATTAATTTTCAGTTTTATTTCTAAACAAAGAATAAATTTGATGTAAACTTAATATTTGAAAAAGTATTGCTTATCATATTTTTAAATATAATACAAAGTTTGATAGAATCATTCACACAGATTTACAATTCGTGAATAAATGAAAACTCTGTATTATTATTTATTATTTACTACCTGCAGACCTTAAAACATATAATGAAATGCAACAAATTCTAATTAGCTGGATTAGAGAAGCTACAATTAACAATTTTCACGTGATCATTCTAGAAGATTTTAATGCAGATATAGACAGAAAACACAACCCAATAAATGCTCTCAAGTTTTTTGATGACTTATTCAAAATTTCTCTTTTTGACATATTTATGTTTAAATATAATTATTTGTGAGTCAATTTTACTATATATCACTTCAGCTAAGTCTTCAAGAATAGATTATATTTGGACTTCAGCTGAGATCTTCCTTAACATTTTAGATTATTTTACAATCTCTTCTAGAGCTGACATATCTGATCATAATATCGTTGTTATTACTATTACAAACTTTTGGATTTTAAATTTAATAAATAGAATAAACCTATCAAAATCATTTTTAATTTTAATAAAATAGATGTCAACTTTTAGAATAAGTTTAAAAATAAATTAGATGCACTTTTAAATAGTAGTTCAGTTAAAATAATCAATTCAAAGACATTCTGAATGCAGTCTTTTCTCAATAAACACTAGAATTAATTTCAAGATCTTATCATTAAAACAGCAGAGAGATTATTCTAATCAGAAAATCTTCTGATCAATTTAAGTATCCAAGGTCACTGATACTTTCAAAAATTATATATTCAACAGAAAACTCTACACAAATTTAAACGTTTATTGCTTAAGGTTAAATAAGGTAATTCATTTTCTCTCAGTTGAGCTTAATTCTATAATAAATTCTAATATTGCTAACTTTTTATCATTCATTACAGCACACCTATTATCACATTACCCATTCACTTTTGTTGATCTTTTAATATTAGATATGAACCTGTTACTTAATATTACTTTATATAAAACAAAATTGCATGAAAAAGATTATAAATTACAGTTTATTCAACAAGCTTTAAACTAGCATTTAGATAATAATGCTAATCATCTAGCAAAAATAATTGACTCTACTTTGAATCATTCAAGAAAAATCATTATTCTAAACAAATACTTATCACAGGATACATAAGAACTTATTACAGATAAAGAACAAGTTAAGCAAATAGTCAACAATCATTTTCTAAGAACTGCTGATACTATTCATAAACTCAAAAAAATCTCAGATGAATGATTTTCATCATATTAACTAATTGTAGATATTAATTTTAACATTTACGACAGTTTGATGTTACTTTCTTCAGTTGATGAGAGGTATTCAATTATTAAATCCCTTTTAGATAGTAAAATACCAGCCCTTTTAAAATATCAAACGAAATGCTCAAGCATCTCAACTTATTAGCTAAAAAAATTTTTTAACACTTAATATATGGTTATTTAAAAATATTCTCATTATCACAATGGTGGAATTTAGCTTATGTTTATCCAATTTCTAAATCAAAGCCTTGAGAATTTGATCTTAACAATACGAGACTAATCACATTACTAAAATATCTAAAAAACTCTTATCAAATTCATAAATAGGCATTTGTTTACTATTTTTGTTTAAAATAACATCCTTAAGGGAAACAACTTCATAGGGTTTCTTTTCTGATCTATGTTTGAACTCTTATACATTTTTAATAATATAAAATATGATGCTTTATTAAACAAAAGAGATCTGTAAATCCTATTATAAAACATATCTAAAGTTTATGATCAAATCAATGTTTTTATGCTAATTAAAATGCTAGAATGCCTAAAGCTTCTTAAAGAATTCATATTTTTTATTTTAAATATATTTGTTTAATGAGAAAACTAAGTTTTTACTTTCTTTAATAATACCAATACTTATCAAGTTTTTTCAGGTATAGACTAAAGAGAAATTATCTAACCACTTTTCTAGTATATATACTATGACCCTCTTCTATATAAGATGCAGAATTCTGACCTCAGTTATACTATATCAATAATATGAAAACCTAATATGTGTACCAATTCCTTTAATGAACTTTCATGTAAAACTACTGTATTAGCTTATATAAATGATATGTTATAGATCACTAAATCGAAACAAGATCTTATCAATATTATTGATCTTATTAATAGCTTTTATGATCTAAACAGTATAAAAGTCAACTGGTCTAAATCTGATCTATTAACAAATTCAACTGATGTCACAAGATACAGACAAATGTCAATGGCTATATTCAAACAATCATCTCCATAAATCCTAAAAAATTAATAGTTATTTAAGTATCTGAATTTCACTCAGATATAATAGAACGTTTATTATTAATCAAACTAAATTCACAGCTGCCACTATGTCAAATAAAAAATTCACTGATAAACAACTCATTTACACTTTTAATATTATTGTAATACCCTAAGTTGAATATTGTATACAACTAACTTATCTGTCAAAAATACTTTTAGATTACATAATAAGACTCTTTAAAGCTTTTTTAAAGAAAAAACTCCATCTATTAAGAGATACACTATTAAATATCATTCATTCAAAGCTTTCTATAGATTAATTCATTTATATTATAGATATACATAAACCCTCAGTGATACACTTATAGTCTTATTGAATAATATAGACATTTTAGAATTGACCACTTGTATTTGTCTGCTTCAACTTCAAACTAATGAATGGATGCCTGTATCATCCTTAGTTGACTGGTCATATAAGAGTTTCAAGAATTTTAAAGATTGAATTCTAACCCTTTTATATGATTTAAAGAAGCTTAATATCAATTTAACACTTTCAGATTAATACAAATACCTCATACAAGAAGATTTCACTACTATACAGTTTATCATCTCATATAGTTATAGGAGATTTTCTGCCTCACTTGTCAAATACTTTTTGATGTTTGTAAAATAACTAGTCACCTGCAATAGGAAGTTTTTGTACACAGCTAATGACCTCAGATTTTTTTATCTATTTCCAATAAAAAGAGAACCCCCTATTAGTATCATGTGATTCATAGGGTTCTCAATATTAACATAAATCATCAATTACCAATTGATATAATATATTTACATAATATTAAATATAGATATTCTCCAGTATCCCCTCACATCAATTCACAGAAATTCACATTCATTCTCTATTAAGATCTGAGTGTCAATAATTTATTATTTGGTTAAATCTTAAAAACTGATAGCAATTTTATAGATATTATACATTGCACATATCTAATAAATAATTCAGAGGTTATACTATAAAGATGTACTGGTTGCTTTCTTAACAAACTCATGCTATTCAAGAAAAACTTATTAGAATTAGCTAGATACAACTGCATATTGGCTGTACCTCTTAGTTATTATATGAATTAAAGATGGCACCTCAATTAGTTGCAATAGGTGACAAATAAGTATCACAATATTGCAACA